CTTTAGATGTAGTTTACTAATTTTTTCACATATTCTGTATCATTATTGATATTTTTTGCTTGTTCTATCAATTATTGAGAGGTATATAAAAATCTCCCACTGTAATTGTATATTTGTCCATTTCTCTTTGTAGTTCTGTCAATTTTTGCTTAAATATTTTGAGCTTACATTGTTTTATATCTCTCTGTGAACTGAACCTTCCATCGTGATGAAGTGACTCTTTTGTCTCCCGTAATGCTTTCTGCTTTAAAGTCTATTTTTATTGATGTTAACACAAACAGTGCTAGCTTTCTCTTGGTTAAAATTTGCCTGGTACATCCTTTTTATTTTTATTTTAGATCTTCCTGGAGGTGGTAGTCAGCATGGCAAGGCAAGAAAAATAAATAAAAGAAATAATGATTAAAAGAAAGAAAAAATACTGTCATATTTACAGCTGATATGGCTATGTAAGTAGTAAGATCAGTTGTAAGTAGTAAGATCAGTTAGAAAGTTAAATAAATGAAAAATACAATAGCATAAAAATAAGATACACCTAGAAATACCTCTAATAAAACTGTACAAGATTTTGATATGGAGACAATTACAAACTTCGGAAGAAAAAAAAAAACTAAAAAAAGGCCTAAACAAATGAACGGATATAACATTATCTCTAAGTTGACCTATGACTCAATGTACTCCCAAACAAAATCCCAACTGGGTATTAGTAGAACTTTCCAAGTTAATTCTAAACTGTATATAGAATTACAGGGCCCAGAAGAGCCAGCCAAAACATTCTTGAACAACAAAAAAGGGCAAGGGAACTGCCCTACCACCTGTCAAGCCATATTATTAAGAATGTTCACACTACAGACAAAAATTAATTTCATATGGATTAATGACTTAAATGTGAATAGTTTTCCAGAGATAATACAAGAGAATATTTTCATGACTATGTGTTAAGGGTTTCTCAAACAAGCAACAGGAACCACAATACATAAAGGAATAATTTGATAAGTTCAGACTATATAAATAATTGTTTGTAAACAACAGGGAAAAGTGAGAGACAAGTCACAAAAAGAAAAAAATTTTGCAACACACACAATTGACAAAGGATAGTATCCAGAATATGTAAAGATCTCCTAAAAATCAAAAGGAAATGACAACCCAATAGTTGCTTTCAAAAGAAAAAAAAATTAAATCACCAATAACATATATGAAAAGATACTCAACTGCAGGAAAGAGCTCAGAAAAAACATGGATTAAAAATGCTGCATAAATGTATTCTCTGCCAAAATGCTTGCTATTAATCATAATATAATTAGTCAACTACAGATGAATATATTTGCATGCTTCACCTCTCCCTTGGTCATTTTCCAATTTTCCAATCATTTGCAGTCATTGTATTTACTATGCATAAATTTGTTTTCCCTTCATATAAACAAGTGTTGGTTCATAAACTAACAATGAGCAATGCCCTGTACTCTCTCATAGAACCCAGACCACTGGGTGGACTAGCCCCAGCTCTACTTCTAATGGACCTCTGACCTCTGGTACCTTATGCAACCTTTCCTCCGGGCTTTCCTTATTTATTCGTGATTGAACTAAGTGAGTTCTACACAAACACCTCCAACCCTGCCACTGCCTGTCCAGCTCTACATTTCTGATTCTTAACGTGCATACTTTTACAAGACTTTCTTTTTCATTCTATTCTCTTACCAAATATACTTCCCTAATCTTGTGTACTAGGCACCGGAGACACAAACGAATGGATACGTCTCTGGACCCCAGGGTCTCACAGTCCAGGGCAAAGAAAAAGATGAACAAGTCACGGCAATGTGCTAAGTGCTATAGTTAAGATATGATAAAGGGGCTAAGGTAGAATAGGAGGAAACGCGCAGTGAGACTGAAGGACCATAGTGTTTGGAATGGGGGAAGGAGGCACTAGGCAAGGGATTTCCAGGCAGAAAGACTAGCGTGGGCAAAATCTTCAGAGGAAGAAAGAAAATTTGGCTTTCAGGGCTTTGTAAAGAGTTCAGCATGGGAGAATAGCAGCCCTCACATGCTACCAAAAAAACTTAGAAATTACCCACTGGACAATATGGTGTCTTTGGGCAGGGAAGTGATAGGACGCAAGTGGAATTTACAAAGATCATTCTAGGTGCCCTGTGGAGAAAAGAATGGGGTATAACACTGGGAGACAAGAAAGGAAGAAGTAGAAATATCAGTTAGAAAGCTACAACTGTCTGAAGAGAAATGATGAGAATCTGAACTAAGCAGTGGCAGCAGAAGAGAGAGATTTGATGAATATCATTGAGTTAAAGTGGACAGGACCCACTATCCAAAAGAAGAGGCTGAAAGAGAAAGAAAAGAATAACTCCTGGGAGAAATAAGGAAGATATGAAGCCTGCACCAGTGAAAATAGTGAGGAAGGAGTTGATATGAAATAAATTAATGAAACAGAAATGTTAGAATCAATTGAATGACTAGCTTCAGGGGCTGAGGAAGAAGGAAGAGAAAAGGATACCTCCTTTGTTCTTGGCTTGAACTAGTGGGTGGATCGTGGGATCATAGATCAAAATGGGGAAAACAGAAATGGATTTTGAGGGAAAGAAAATAATTTTTCAACACCCTGAACTGGAGGTGGCTGAGTGCCAACCTGCAAGAAACAAATGTACAATTACAGTGGGAGATTTTTATATACCTCTCAAGGTTGTAAGCTAGCAAGGAGGATAGAACTGGAAATAAAAGGATAGCAAGCATGTGGCACTGTTAAAAGGGCTTTACATCTTTTATGGCAATTCTTATAATTCTGTTAGATCGGTACTACTGTTATTCCTACTTCACAGATCAGTAAAAATTAGGTGCTGAGCATTTAAGCAACTTATCCAAGGTCCCCAGGTGGGTAAGTGCTGGAGGCAGGATTTGAATTACAGTCTTAATTCCAGAGCCTGTGCTAACCATTTCACGGTGTTCACCTTGAGCTAGGGGCAGCACAGACTGAGGTTGAAGGTATGGAAGAATATGTGGAATGCAAAGAGGACCAAGAGCAGAGTCCTGGGAAACACCAGTATTGAAAAGGGAGAGTAAAATAATTGGAACAGAATGCTGAGTAGAGCCCCATGGAAGCGAAACGGAGAGAAAGTTTCAAGAAAGAGGAACTAATGAACAGTGTCATTTGATGCAGACATTTAAGTCAGATGGCTGAACTTGACAACTGCAAGGCCTGGGACATCACTCACAGACAGTTTCCCAAGAGGGTAGGGCCAGACTGCATCGGGTTGAGGAGAAAATGAGATGAAGACAAAAAGAGAGCTCCAAAAAGCTGAGCTGTGAAAGGAGAAGACTCAGGAGGTTACTGGAGGGGCGTAAGTTTGGAAAGTTTTGTTTTGATAGGAAGTTAGGATTCTAAGCATTCTTTCATGCCAGATGCCCATTTTTAAAAAGTAAAATTCACAGACAGCTTGTTAAAAATCTGTAAAACACTTCTTAAGTCATTAAACTAAACTTGGGGACATGATACAAAGGAATTTTTGGACACCGCCTCCCATCTTCACATCTTCAGCTGATCACCTACCTCGGGCTCTACTGGGCCTACACTATCAATTGGTAGATGCTCTCATCAGGCTCTAGACACATCAGCTTTTCCTCAGTTCTTCAAACACACTAAGCTCTTTGCCTTCTCAGGCTTGCCTGTCACCTTTGCCTGGAAACTCTTGCCTGAATCAGCTTCCTCCATTGAGATCATGCAGCTGTTTCTCAAATCCAAGGCCTTTTTCTCACTGTATTAACATACATAATCATAAAACATTTACTGCACTCTCACTAGTTACCAGGCTCTGTGCTACATGCTTTATTTGTGTAATTTCACTCAATTTTCACACTTATCTTCTCATGTAGACAGGTGTTTTGAAAATGATCTCCGCTTGTACAGGTGAGGAAAGAGAGGAGGCTGCATAACTTGCCCAAGTTCACATAAGTGGTGGTGCCAGGATTAGAACCTAGTTTTTCAAAAACAAAACAAATCGAGGCCACTGCTCACTTCAAGTGAAGGTACAATACTCTAGTTTGGGAAGTCCTGATCTAATTTTATTTATGTTCCGAGATTACATCTGCACTTTACAGGCTATGTCCCTAATTCACAAATTCAAATTTCACCCCCTCTTTCCACTTGCTTTCTGATGGCGGGAGGTAAGGGCAGAGAGCATCGGAGGGCTATTCCGAACTTCCAATTCTGCTTCTCCCGAGGATGCATGTGGGAAGGAGAAGAAATTCAAACGTTAGCAACTTATCTCTGAGCAATGAGGTAAGCCGGGACCTAACAAGCGGCTGGCAGTTTTGGAGCTGAAGCCAACAATTCCCACACCGCATCAGTAGCAAAGGTGCTTACCTTAACTGCCACCTCCGGAGCCGAGTCCACTGCCACTGCTAGAGACGGCTTGGCTGAAGGCGATTTAGTCAAGTGCATGAGGGAGTCGGCGGCTGGCAGCGGACATCGACTGCTCTCACTGTCCGAGTCCGATTCGGACCCTGAACCCGAACCGTAGGAAGCGGCCAGAGCTGCAATCGCAGCCGACATGACGGCAACAAATCTTCTGCGGGGACCCTGTCAGGGCGGAAGAAGAGGAGGCTCCCAGGTCCTGACAGATTGCCATGGAACACATCATTAACTTTCTTTGCTAAGAAATAATTTCTTACATTTTGAAACAACAAGCTAATTATTATTAGAATAACTACTGTCGAAATGAGAGCTTAAAAAAGTTTATCTAGGGAAAAAGAGAGAATTATAATAGCTTATAACTTTCAGGACCTAGTTGACTAAAGAATACGAGTTCCAAAATACCTTGAGGCCTCGCGGTCCTGCACTCCCAGCGTGCAGCGCGGCAGGAAGCACCAGAGGGCACAATGGGAAGTGTAGTTTGGAACGAGGGGGCGGGACGGGGGCGGGTCCCTCCTTGACCACGCCCCCGAATGGATGTTCCATTCAATTGGCTGTCATCTTCCCTCATTCCCTAGCCAAGCACTGTTCTCTCCGTCCCCCTCCCCCAAACTGAGGATTGGGCAATACCACAGAACCTCAGGAAAGGGGGGAAGAGCGAGCTTCGGCCCCACCGATGGAGGAGTGGGCGGAGGCTGGGTTTCCCACCTCGACTGCACCTGGGCACTCGAGGCTGAAGCGGAAAGTGAGAATCTGAAGTTTTGAGACCTCTGACTGGCCGGAAATAGCTCCTGGGGCAGGGGGCAAGGATGGGACCATAGCCGGAGAGAGTCCCGCGGTCCCCCCTGCTTCTGGCGCGGGTCCCTGCGTCCGGTTGTGGAGCGTCTCGCGCGGGGAGGGGGCGGGGGGAGCGGCAGCTCGCGGTGTTGTTCACTCGCGCGTCGAGCACACGGTGGGTCCGGCGGCCGGTGGGCGCCCCAGGCGGCGTTCCCAGTGGCCTGGCGCCTCGGCCGCTGTCCTGAGCGGGTTCCGCCCCAGAGCCCGACCCTCCTGGGGGCCCTAGGTGGAGTCCCGCGAGCCGAGGGGGACCGGCGACCGCTGCCGAAGCATGAAGAAGGGGTAAGCGAGAGCCCCCAAGATTTCACGGTGAGCGCGAGTCCCTGAGGAATTGCTTTTTTCGGGGAGGGGGTGCTGGGAGAGGAACTCTTCCTCACCGGCCGGAGCAGACCGAGGGGTGTGTGGCCCGCATAGGTGACGGGGATGGATGGGCGCGCCTCCCCCGCCCCGGCCCCCACCCCCATCCGCGGGTTTCCCGAGCGCCCACCGCCCACCCGCCAGCCGGGCTGGGTGCCGAGGGAGACGGCGGCGGGCGCGCCTGGGGCTCGGCTGCAGGGACCGCCCCGGGGCTGCTTTCGCCGGAGAGACTGCGGGTCTCACCTGAGGTGCCACCGCCCGGGCTTCCCTGTCCACCCGCGCCCACGGTCCGCCCCGTGCCTCTTTCCGGGGGAGGCGGTAGCCCCGGGCGACAGAGAAACCTCTGCTCGCTCTACGTGCCTGGAGCTTAGTAAAGCCGGCTCGTGCGTTTGCGTGTTTGCTCCGCGAGTCGGTGTCTAAAGACATAACGGTAAAGCGAGTGCAGGCATCCTTTTCTTGGTTGGAAGGGTAGGCGAAGCAGTGCTGTCGCTTCTGGTGCCCGTTCGTGGGGGCTGCCTCGGGCAGAGTTAGGGAGCCGCTCATTCAGCGCTCATGTCGGCAGGACTCGCCCATTGTGCCACCCAGATAATTATTCAACTATGCAGCATCCATTGCACCTTTCCCATTTTTCTTTTCCCCTTGCTACAGCATGCCCCCTAGCTTCGGTACTCTGACACCTTCTCTTGCACTTGCGGATGATGAACTGGAATAACGATGAAAGAAAGCACATCCTATCTCAACATACACGACCTGCCCTATAACCGATTAATTAATTGATCCCCAGCTAGACTAGGTGCTTAAATATGACTTACTCTAATCATTTCCTTTTCTGTATAATACGGTGTGCGGTGGATTCGACCTAAATTTTTTCTTTGGTGTTAGATTCACAGTTAGCTAAGGTCTTTTTTCTTTTCACTAATTGATGTAATTGACTTATGGGTTATTCAATCCGTCTAATGTTCTTAAATTTAAATTTGCATGGTAGGTAACATTCATTTTTCTGATCATAGCACTATATCATGATTAAAAATGCAGTCTAAATTTGAACTCTCAGAAACAGTTTATCCTTTATGCTCTAAGTTTCTGTTAGGAAACATTTTTTTGTTTATATTGAATATTCGAATGAAGTATTTGATGTAAAATTTCGGAAGTTTTGAATAAGAAAAGTTTTGTATTTGTTTTTCAGTAACAGAATATGTCATTACTAATCGTTGCCTTCCATTGAATGGAAAAATTTAATATTTAAGGTGAGGATTTTAACCACCGTATCAGTCATTCCCTAATTTATCTGATTTTATTTTTTTTTCACTTTTGTCTTTGCAATATCTTGTATTTAATTATTTGTTTTAGAATCCAATTTTTTTTTTCTAACTTCGATCTACAAGTATGAGTAGGCTTCAGTTTTGCATGATCTACCTGAAGGATGAATTTTTTTTTTGAAAATACAAGAAACAACTGTTGGTTACTTGATTTTTATGTTAAAAACTGTTTACATCTCATTATTTAAAAATAAATGATTCACTATCAGAAATAAGTGTTGTATTTTTATAATTTTCCTTTTCCATCTTGTTTATGCTTGTTGCATTAAACCGTCTGATAAAAGAGAATCACATATAAGCATTGCAGAGGCAGTTTTAAGGTACGGTAATTGTTTTATGGCACTTGGAAGTGGCGCACATATAATATAAGTTGATGGTGTATGATTAGTTGCTTGGTTAGGAAATGACCTTGCAATTTACAAAATGGACACCTTTGTGCCTTGATTTCCTTATATGTAAATGGAGATAATATTTAGTAGATAGTGTGCATAAATTCAGGAAAGGTGTGTTTTTGTAGTCCTTTTAAAGAAAATTTAAATAGCTGATGAATGATAAAAAAATTTCTGTGAAAAATACAATGAAAAAATGTCAGAATTTTCCTTGTCATGTTAGAATGGCTGATTAACATTGATTTTTGCTTTGGAGAGAGACGCCTCTGAATTGAAAAATGTTTCTCATCTATCAGTGGTTTTAAATAATTGCAGACATAAAGGTTATTACAGTTAATACCTACATGTAGTGAAACATATAGATAAAATAGTTAATAGTAAATAAAAATTATGACTTGATAATAAGAATATTGAATTAAGTTAGTGAAGAATAATATAGTCAAAAAATATTAAGGCCTTTTTTGTTAAAAATTTGCAGGTGTTACAATCCAAAATGCTTAGTTGTGATCATTTATAAGGTATGCTATAGAGTTACTTTATTACTCATGTTTGTAAATATCCATATATTCAGAGACAGTGTATTAATATTGTACAAGACTATATTTAATTATACATTTTGCTTTATTTTAGGAATAACTTAAAATATCTTTCCAAGTACTTGATTTTCATTATCACAGTACATAGTACCTTGTGATTTCCTTATTGGACTACTATCAAAAGATTATATTATTAGCACTTTTACCAAAACAGTGCTTTTGGTTACTTTGTGAGAAAACTTCATATAGATAAGACTATTAAAGTGTGTTTAAAGTTAACCATTGTATGGTTTCTTTTTTGAGAGTGATTGTTTTATAATGTTTTCTTGAATTAAAATTTAGCTGTCACTGTCACTTGGGTAAATGCAGTAAAGTCATGGTTTTTTTAGTTATTTGAGGAGAGGAACTGACCTGCAGCTTATTGTCATAAATCCAAAGTTGTCAGTATAGTGTTTAACAAATAGTAGGGGTTCAATTTTCTTTGTTGAACAAATAAAATGAATGTGTAAAGAATATCCATTGAATTAATATACTCAGTGAAACATTTTTAAAGATTTATCAAACATTTTAATTAATGAAACGTATAACTTTATCTCAGGAGAAAAGAGAAAAATGAATTTGGAGGTTCTTTGAACTGCATTTACCTGTTCAGATCTAATTCCATTACCTGTACACTTTTGAATTGGCACTAGATACTTAGCAGTCTTTGATTTATGAAATATTAACAATTTTCTTCTTATAGCTCACTTTATGAAGATGTATGTCAGCATATTTTTTGTTTTCCCTACACTAGATAGAAGTGTGTTTGATTCTTTGTGACTTAACTTTTCTAATGAAATAGTAATACAAAGATATATGTAAATTAAATCCTGTGCTAAATGCCTGAGTACCTAGTTGTTAAAAATAAATGACCCCTGAGGTGGAACTTTTTATAAAATTAAGAATCTTGTGTTTTTAGTTTATCACATTCAACTTATAATTTTGTGAATTGGTAGTTCTAACTTACTACATGATTGAATATATTTTACAACTTGTAAAATGGTTTGGAACTTGGGTCTTATTTTCTCAGAAACGGTATGCTTAGTGGTTAGAGTCACAGACAGCCCACTACTTAAATAATAAAATACCTGAATTACAAGATTATGTTAATACTAAAAAAATCATAAAATTATGTTAATAATTAGCATAAGTATATTCAAATACCTATAATAATTTGTATGACAGTCTTTCTATGGGAAAAATAAGTTTCAGATCTACCTTGAAATGCTAGGATCTGTAACTCTCATGTTAGACATGACAACATTAGGAACTTGTTCTCTTTCACCCAGTGGACTTGAAGAGGAGGCTGTTTCTCAGTTCAGTGAGTGGCATAGCCTTACATTATCTGGGACAAGAAGTTAGGGCATGACAGAAATTAGAAGGAAATGCAGTCTTCTGTGTGACTTTACTTCTCAAGATATTTGATTATAAAATGAAAAGGTAGATGTCGATGACTTCTGAGGTGTGTTTTAGCTACAAATAAAATTCCAAGGCTTGATGTAACTTTGAAGCTTGATGTAATCCCACTTTTTTCCTGATAGTTCATTTTCCCTAATATTACAGCTTACGTATCTCTGTGAGGACATTTCTTTCTGGACCTACCTCTGAAAAAGAAAGTAGCCTTAATCCTTTCTCACATGCCTGTTCTCAGAAGCAGTATTTTTTAGTCTCTTAAAGGTGTTATTTTTGTGATGGGTTTTATGTTTGTTTTAAGTTTTAAAATAAACTCCCAGCACTGTCAAAAAATAGGATTTTTCTTTTGTATTGTTTCCTTTGTTTCCTTATTTTGAGCTATTAGTAAAGTCAGGGTAGATTTTATTCATACTTTGGAGAATGATCATATCCAGTGAATCTCCATAGAATTTTTTTAAGGAAAAAATGGAATGAGGTGATGAAGTGGGAGTATGAAGATACAAAGATGGGTTATTGCCCCATGAAGTATGGGGCACCTTGTATTTGTAGCAGCCTTACCTGAGGTGCAGTGAAGCTTTGGTATGGATGTCATGGGACTGAAGGCAGATTGAGAAAGTGAATCTATGAACTCCTTGAGGACAGTTTTGTTGTTAGTGTTTGGTTGTTTTGTTTTGCTTCATTTTTGTGTTCCTAGTGCCTGTTTTTGGTTTAAGCTAAATGGAATGGATTTTGATTGTATGCAATTACTACAGCATAAAAGAGAAGTCATTCTCTTCCTAGGTGGAAAGATCAGGGTGCTGTGAGGGAAGAGGTAAAAAAAACAGCTATTTTTGTCATATGCACTGGAGTATTTAATAGGTTTTTTTATTAACTCCTTATTTGGAGATCAGTGATATTAAAAAATAATGTGTAACATGGTCCAAAAGGAAAAGAAGTAACATTGTTTGCTTGCTGTATGTACAAGACACTGTATAGGTACTATCACATTTATTATTTCTCTTGTTTAGTTGCTACCATAGCCCTATGAGGATTTAATTGAAGAAAAAGGTTAACTGAATTGAACAGGTTGTTTGTTCTGCCAAGCAGAAGCCCAGATTCTCTCAGAACTGCTTTATCTCCCCTTTTACCGATAAGTTACTGTTGGAGTAGTTGTTTTAATAACTTGATAATAGCAATTCTGCCTGCCTGCTACCGTCCCCTCATTTGTAATTGGTTCATTTAGTGGATCCTCCTTGTTAAACCAATGATTCGTAGTT